ATAACTACCAGTTTCTTATAATGTCGTATTATAATAAAAATACATTAAAGACATGAGCCCCACAGAATTTTGGTAAAAACTTTCCAATATACATGTAATCTATATTCATATGGTTGATTCGCGCCTTTCGAGTCAGCAGACCTACGTGTATGCCTAAAGCATGTTTGAAGTGAAACTTGCAGATGAGGGTGTGGCGGAAGCAGGAATTTTGACTGGGGTATGGAATGGCTCAAGGATAAAAAGTTTCAATAAATCTCAAACAGCGAGAGAATGACATGTGTCCGCTGCACACTGTGCCTAAACAGAGACAATAACACAATGCGTAAGGACTTGTTTATGACATTGTCGTTAATAGCTAATCAGTTGCTTATGGGTACAAATCACGTTTGATTAACCGAATAACATTGCACGTGTCCACTCAACTCAAAACATTGATTGATTTCTTTGACTGATTTTTTGATTGAATTTTTAGGTTAGTCATGGGTATGCTGCTTCCTGGTGGTCCACTGTGATGAAGTATGCGTATTATAGTCCAGGAAATTGGTGAAAAATTGTGCATTTTTTACCTACAAGCATGAAATTTGGCACACTTATGGACAATAAAATTCTTAGCAAATTTGGATATATGGGCATGTCTGAAAATTCCAAAATGGCCGTCAAATCCAAAATGGCCACCAAAATACCTTTTCAAATTAAAACTTCAAGTACATAGTCTTCTGATGACTTAAAATATCATATAAAGGTTAGAAAACACCATGGTATGAATCCTTCAGGTGTATTAAATCCAAAATGGCCGTCAAAAGTAAAAAAAGCAGACCATTTATTCAAGATATCCATTTGAATGGGGAATTCATCAAGCACTTAAAACTACAAGCATAAAATTTGGCAGGTTTGTGGAAAATGAAATTCTGAGCAAGTTTGGATGTATGGGCATATCCGAAAATTTAAAAATGGCCTTCAAATCCAAGATGGTCTCCAAAAATACGGCTTCTAATTAAAACTTCAAGTATATAGTCTTTTAAGGGCGTAAATATCATACAAAGGTTAAAAAACACCACGGTATGAATTCAGAATCAATATTTGCTTTTTTAGGTGTATTNGACTATTAAGGGAAATCAGAGGATGGCATGATTCAGTATGAAAGAGAGAGAGAGGGGGGGGGGAGAGAGAGAGAGGGAGATCTTGATTCGCATTCACGGATTATCTATAGCATCTAGTTTCTGTCATAAACTATGCGCAGAACGTAATCATGAGAGTGCTTACTATGTTTAGCTTACTCTTAGATGGATCGAACGGGTATCAATTTGGGTGAATTGGAGTTAGGATCACTCAATCACTCACATGGCACACGTGTTAAAAGCACTTGAAATTTACCGTTATAATATCCACAGATCGCAGGATCCTTGACACCAAATCTGAAAACACCTTCAATCTGCAAAGAATGGAAGAATATGCTCATGTCTCCGGAGACAGATTAGAGACCGACAGAGATGCCCTAGAGAAGTAATTACAGAAAACTTACTGTGCTGATAAGTTTGGCGTACGCTGATTGCTGGGTGCTGCGTTCACATTTCACTGACCAAGACCGAATGTTTTCGAACTGACTGACGGCAACCGCTTATTTGTATTTTTTTTTCACAGCCATGAGCAGATCCCAGCCATGAGATGACACTAATTACAAGAAGTACAGGCGGGCAATAAAGAATCAATCAATCAATCTACCTTTGTAAATGTCGAATGACCAAGCGCAATATCTGATTAACAATCAGCCTCCATAATTCGCTTTGCGTCACAAATTAAATCAGCTTTGAAAGTGTTCGATTTCTGGTGTCATTAGTCCTTTTTAACAGTAATTAGTCTACGCAAACGTCAATACTGACTATCACTTGATTCCCAAAAGGGCCATGTGTCCGGAACTTCTCCCGAAATCTTCCAGACGTGATTTTGTTTTCGCGGTGTTTCGCCGGCACGTACAACAACCTCGCTTAATACAATCATTCACTCCATCACAGTACGGTGTCCTGCATCGTGATTCACTCCAAATTTGGATTCTGACTACAATGCACTGATATTTCACAACGTTAACGGCGTCAAGTTGAAAATATGTCGCCACAAAACCAGCTAAGAATCATAGCTGACTAAACGGCGGCAAACACAAGATGTATTGAGACCGTTTTGTCGGTCGCAAAAACAACGCCCGCACAGCACGTCCTAAAAGTCTAGTTTATTCTTTGATGTGAATAAAGGATCACAAATGTTAATCTTGCCCGTATGTTACAGTATATATAGTATGTTACGCATAGGCGATGTTTTTCCCATCAACGTATAGTATAATATAATATAATATAATATAATATAATATAATATAATATAATATATGTACACCAAGTGCATTCATTTTTAGTCGGTGACTTCATTTGATTGCGAATGTATGGGTTCACAAATGTTAGTAAAGCTGGTATAGGAAAATAGTGTCGTTTTTCGGATCGATTCGGAATCGCGGTACGCGTGAATTTGGCCTACTGCACTTGCATAAACCACTGTAAAAGCCGTACATGTACTTACTCCGCTGTTGCTATCCTCTGAGACTATGAAAAATGAAAATATTGACGAGGAATTCCCATCATATGCTGTGCTGTATGCAAACCTAATCAAAATCGCCATTTAGTTTCAACGGAGCTGAACTAAGATAATTTCTAGATGTTAACACGGCCTAGTTTATAACCGGGGCATTGGGGTCACGCCGCTTGCATGCTCTGGCTTTCAATTCTTAATATAATCAATAATTGATGGAAATTATATCTCATACTGGGCAACTCACGTAAGGCTGATGGTAAGAGCGACGACATATTTGTCTTTATCCCAAAGACTTCAACGCCTCTCTTCAAGAAGTCGGTCTACTAGCTATAATAAAATTGAACTAATATGCCTCCATTCCGTTTTAAAACACCCTTCGAATTTGCCTCAGCTTGAGCCTTTGCTTTATTATGAACGCTTTGTCATTCCTGTCATGAGATCTAGACAAACGGCACAGAGTGTCCAGAAGCGCAGTCCACTACGGACAAGAACACATGGGTCGCTGTAGTCTTGTCGCTTAATAGTTCTTCAAATTAAAAAAATATATATATTTTGAAATTTATACCAGAGAGGGAGTAGAAGCCCACCAAGCCTGTTTAGGGATGGTATCTCTATATTCTCTCATAGACCAACCTCTACTAAACCAACCCTCTCTACAGTCAAGCACTATCTACCACTTCCTACGAATTCGCGTGAAAGAAATGGATTGAATGCGGTTTGCTCACTTGTATCGCAGTAAGTGGCTTGTTCAGAAAGCTGCCCGGCCCCCACGGAATAGCATTTTAAGTCAATGTGATAAGGAAAGCAATCTAATCAAATCTACGAGTTTGAATCTTGGCAACGTTTTTTTTTTCTTTTTCTTTTTTTTCATCACCTTGTATTTTGTCACGTCTATTTGTGAATGTATGGGATCTTGCAAATATGACTATATTTTAACACACTAATGATGTTTTAAATTTATATATATTTTAACTTCTTGCCATAGACTGAACTCAGTAAACAAGTGGGTGAGTTTATTTCGGTCGAAATTCTTGAGCTATTTCAGTGCAATCATCACTGTACATGTCACCAAGATCGATGTAGTCGGACCTACACTGGGTGCGCCCCTCTTGAATAAAAACAAAACAATATAAAAGACAAAAATGATACAAGATGTTTTTGTATTTATTGCAAAGACTGGAATATCGTACAATGCACTGTGCAACAACCAACATACATGCACTACATACAAGTACACATAAGCACACACATACTAATCACAAACGTATGTGGGGTTTCGCTGAGAGGGGGTTGATGGTGAGATGGCAAAAGGGGGGGGGGGTAAAAACAGAAGCTGTATAGGATGTGCGCACGCTCAGGCGCCCCTCCTTCCTACTTCCCCATCCATATCCAACTAATACTAAATATAGTTAGACAATTCTGTCTTCTTTTTTAACCTTATTTCCATTTTGGCCTGCTATAAATGACATAAATGTCACATCAATTTTGTAAACGATGATTGCATCGTACCAAGCTTTCATCATAAGAGCTTGAATAAACATAAACCCCAAAGCATATGCTGAATAACCTGCTGTTTTTCAATTGCCTGTTAATTGAATTGATCTTGGCACAGCTAAGATGACAGGCTTTGAGTGTGGCATTATTGCCTTGCAGTTATGCAGTTTCGCCTAAGCTTTGTTTAGCATTACTTTGTGCCTCCACACAAATTACGGGGTTATGTCTAATGATGTTTTAGTGATAATGATCACTCACTTTGGAAGTTTTTTGTAACAACTAGGTTTCGCTCTTGCCACAAGAATATCATCCGATTATGACAAGAACTACACGTAGCTGTGTCATAAATATCTTGATCCAAAGTAAGCTGTTACTGTTGCTAAAATGTTAGAAACAAATTCTTGGCACCATCATCAATCTAATAGATAATGTGGGTTGAAATTATAAGTGATAACAGAAAAACAATTAAATCCGCTTCAATACTCACAGTGCATTTACTGTGTGACAAAAATAATCGGAACGTGTTGCCAAGAGAAATTAACAAACTCATCTTCCTATTTTTTGTTTCACTCTACATAATCTCTATAGAACCACCTATTTACTAGACCAACCAGATATAGACTAGGCCATCTCTTAGCTTCACGGCCTTGATACCATGCGCATATCACAGCGTCAAAAAGGGGCTTTGGTGATTTAACTGTAACGAAAATTAACAGAAAAATGCTTCTCTAGGGAAATTAGGCCGTTGCCACCAGCATTATTTGCAGGAAGAACATTCAGTTGTGTTGTTCCTCTCTCCTTCTCACTGGTTTAATGGGGATGTAAATTAGAAACAAAACTTGTCTGAGAGACCAATGGCGCCCTCTATGACACAAAACAACTTTTAATTTAATTGTTGGGTGTAACAATATGGCAACCTTCCAAAGTTAGTCCTTACAGATGCATAAGTCAGTTGTCAGGCTTTGTCTGCTTCAATGGTTTCAAAGACAACCATCGGATATACACATATTGATATAGCTATTTTCGTACTTTCAGTTGTTCGAAAAGTTGCAGAATGCATTTACATTTGTAATGACGTCTGCTGCTCTGTCCTAGACTCAGCTTGGTTTTTTCAGGGGTTCTAATTGGAGGAAGAATTCAACAGAATATGGTCATGTTTTGTGCATAAGCCGGTGGCGTGGCGTCAGCTTTGTTCTTGTATACCACATACGGCTACCTGCAACAGCTGAAGAAGAACCACCTTCGCACCGGTAAGATTTCTCTTAAACATGCACCAGTATTTGTCTCATCTTGGTCATAAAAGCAGCCGTCATACAGCCAGATATAGTTCTCTCTCTATATATATAACCTATCCCCTATATCTCCTGCCGGAATTCTATAGGTTTCACTGTATTTACAGTAACCGCTTCTACGGCCTGTTCCTGGCAATGCTGAAAACACTGCCGCGAGTTCCGCCGAGAAAATGAGGAGCCTGAATCTGCACGCAGCTCTCATATTCCTGACGCTGGTATCAAGCGAGTTAACCAAAGGTAAGGTGGCTTATTACAACCCAGTGTGGATACGCATTGTAATTGCTCTGATGCATGTGACTGAAGTGACTGACTGCACAGTATTCTGTTGTAGCTTTAATCTGGTATTTGATTAACGCCAAAGTGGTTGACAAACGGGGCATGTGTTCTGTAGCGTAATCCAATGGCAGCAAAACTTGAAGGCAGCGTGTTAGGTCCCTATCTATAACGACTAATTACGCTGAATTAATTTTTATATGATACGTACCCGCCAATGTGAGTAGAGGTGTGACAGGAATGGTGGTCCGTTAGGAACCGTAGTCCGTCCCCCCTTACTTTTGTACATTCGTCTTATATATTTACCCCAATACTCCGACCAACCCTACCCTGTCCTAATCATATGGGACACCGGGCTTCCATACCTAGGACTACCTTACTCTGTCACACCGGCTTAAACTCTACCCTTGCCCTTTGGAAAATTTGCTACTGGTACAATTGACTTTTATTAAACCTGCAAATTACTCTGTAATGGGTGACTTACTTGGTTGTTATCATTATGTTATTTTGATGTGCCTTTGATGACAGTGAAATAGAGAGAGGATGTGTGTTTGTGCGTGTGCGTGTGTGTGTGTGTGTGTAAGAGAGAGAACAAACTCATGTGTATAGAAAACGCAGATGTCTTAACCATGGTTTAACTTCAATGCCACAGGTCATATACCTGACTAAGTGGTTGTGCTTTTAACAATTAAATAATAAGATCTATGTATGCGATTCAGTTTAATAATGCATTGCGTTGCCTGCAACATATGGCAAACGGCTGGTTCTGCAGATTCGACATGTGATATGAAAATTTAATGCTTGTCTCAAAATGTATAACTTGGAAGATATTTGAAGGCATCCTTTCATTGTACAGCATTGTAAGGAGGTTAAATGAAAGCAAATGGTCTTTTATCTTGATAGAAAGTAATTAACTGGGCTTATTTTGTTAGAAAAGGGCAGTTGGCTTGCAATCAATGTGTTACAAATTTATCAAAATAGGAAGTCCTTCATCACAGTCAGTGGGAGAGCTAGGATTCTGTTCAGGGTGTGTGTGCAGTGGCGGATTTAGAGGGGGGGACCGAAAGTGGGGTCAGGGAAACCAAATGGCACTGTTCGCTCTGTAAAATACCTTTTTTTCAGCGGACCCCGAACCCCACGCCAACGCCAACTGGGGGGGGGGGGGGGGGCTTCGCATCCACGGACCCCCCCTTCAAGTAATCTGGATCTGCCCCTGTGGGGGGGGCAGTCAAGATGAATGAGATTCCCTCCATTCGTTCTGCAGGCAAGGACATTTTGCACTAGGCTATATATGAACAGGACTGTAAAAATGGGTGTCAGGGGAAAAGAAAAGAATTGGCCATGGGTACCTTGGAGATTAAGGAATGTATATGGTACACTTTACCCCCTTCACACCCCACACCCCACCTCTTCACACCCCACCTCTTCACACCCCACACCCCACGTACCTTTCTCGCCTCCTATGATCCGCCATTGTAGAGGTACATGTACAAAGCATGTCAACATATAAATATCAAACAGTAGATGGTTTTGTAGGGTCAAAGCATCATTAAGATGAAGGCGGTGTTTGCTGCGTTTGGATAGTATATGGCAACCTTCCAAAGTTAGTCCTTACAGATGCATAAGTCAGTTGTCAGGCTTTGTCAACAAAACACCTGTGATGATACCTACATGTATCTTCATGCATAATCCGACCTGTCACCTCTTTGTCTTTCTTTAATCCCCCCTCCTTTCACTTTCACTCTCTCTCTCTCTCTCTCTCTCCCTCCCTCCCTCTCTCTCTCTCTCTCTCTCTCTCTCTCTCTCTCTGTCATCTCCCAATGCTCTGAACGAGACAGCTTGGTTGGCACAATACCTATACCTAATTTCACGTCCAGCTACGCACATCACTCACTCGGATTCCAATTACCAAACCCGCTGAACCGTGATTTAGATCAAAGACCGTGGGTTCACACGGGCTTTCTTTAAGATCGAATTTCATTTCATCCATTTTACTAAACCAGGCACATTTATCATTGCAATTAGGCTTTGGAAGTAGTCCTAGGTGTGGAAGGCCGGGAACTCATACAAAAAATACAGGTTAGAGTTTGCAGGGAGCAGTAAATGGGACGTATGTCACCTTTGCAAAGTAAATAAAATTGTACTTTCTGTAACAACGGACTTATCCCTGAATCTCTTCTTTTAGTCGCATTCTTGCACTTTAACAAAATTGCTTAATTGCAGTGCAGACCGGCGACGACAGTGTATATCAAATCAGGCTTTCTCCATTGAGACACGTGTGAACACACCCCTTCATGTTAAGCACAGATTGATGATTCAGCGCTTGGAAATCAGCAATATTATCGATTGCTATCTCTTTGCAACGATTTACTTTTGTGATTCCGTTCAGCGCAGCCTTTCTATTCAACGCGACTTCCTTCGCAACGACGGCGGCACAAATCAATATATATGTATACAAGTACATATGCCAATTTTGTTTAAGTGTGTTTTATCTCCTTTCTTGTATAAACCTACATTGATTTCCGTTTTGATTTTCCACGTGTACCGTGCTCCATTAATATAATGTACTATGAAATGTTTATTGTATGTATCTTAATTATCCTGTAGTTTCTACAGCTTAATTAAAATTAACTTGTTTATAATGATGATATTTATTCTTGAAATAAAACTGGATTGCACATGCACATAAAAGACTGACAGACACGGAGACCAATTTACAGACAGAGAAACAACCATTTACCTAAAATTGGCCAAAGATCCCGTTCACGTTCGCTACTGCCCGTAAACTCTATTCTTATCGATCTCTATGTAATTGGTCATCGTGTACACCGTTATAGGAGGGATGCATTAAACAGACTAAATTACCAATTAGAATGGAGTCCCGAAGCGGATTAAAATAACACGGCATAATTAAGTAACAGATGCACTCGTCAGTATATAGATGCATTATCTTGTATGGGGAGTGAAAGCGCCATGATGAAACACAAGAACTTGATAATCAAATTGTCTGCACACTGTTTCAGTATGTTCCAGTTGAATTTAATCTATAACATGCGTTTCCCTTATGGTAAAAACAGCAGTGCACTCCTCATGCAGGAAAATAAGAACTTTGGTGCATAGGGCAAGGCTCACAAAAGCTAAGGTAATTTTTTTCTGGGCGCTAACTGTGTGGATTGGCTGAAACCGCCCCTGCTGCATGGAACTGTGACTCTGAATACTCCAGCTGGATCTCGCATGTGTTTCCCTAGTGTTAAAAACAGCAGGAATCTTTTTCTAACGACCGCTGTATCTTTTAAGGGCGTTATAATATTGTTCTGTCATGGGAAATGGTTACACGATAATGCGTCAGGCAATCGAAATACCGTATCCAGGGGGTTGCAATATGTCCATAGGGACATTCAGATCGAACGTTTAACTCTCTGTTCCCACTTCAATAGGTATTTATTGCCATAAGCTCGCGCACCTCGAGTATTTTCCATAACTTAGTTCATACTAGAAACAGGAAATAACATAAAAAATCCATTTATTTATTTATTTATTTATTTATTTATTTATTTTTATTTTATTTTATTTTATTTTATTTTATTTTATATAATTTTATTTTTTCGCTTGTACCAGTTGCAGTCAAATTTGATCTGAAGATAAGTTTGTAGGCTCGAAAACATATTAACTGCAAACGCCTACTGCTGTCTGTGATTATTGAACAAAACGATATTAAATCATGTCATAATGGCATATGTTATTGTGTCATAACGTTACAATATTTCATTAGATCGTGACATTGCGACATCACATAACGCCATAACAATAAGATAAGTCATCAAGTCATAAAATTACGATATTACATTAATTCATACATCATAACATTGTGATATCTCATAAATTCATAATAACACGATATCATATTAAGTCATAACATTACGATACCACATAACGTGCAAAGCAATGGGATATTGGAATAATTTATGTAAGGTCAAGATCTGTTTTATTTCCAGTGTCAGCAATCCGCTGTTACGATTGCAGCGACTCCAATCCACACTGCAGGGACCCGTTCCCGCATAAAAAGGACTACAGTGTCTTAACGAGGGACTGCGCTCACGGATGCATTAAACAAACACGACACGAAAAAAGTGAGTGAATAAAGAAACTTGTTGAAGTCTTACCCCGATTGACTTTAAAGCGAAAGTTGGGCTTTAACTTGAGCACAATATTTTGCTCTACGTTAATTCAATTAGAACTCTGTGCCCGTATCACAAAAGAACGTCAGATTGGATGCAGGTTTGCCTTTTAAGTAGAAAATGATGGAAGTTTTGACTATATTTGCAGTAAACTAATGAAAAGGAGTAGCCATTGGTCTAAAAATGATCATTGTACTGATGATTTTGCTGCCAAAAGTAACAATAACCGGTTTTGGCATGTCAGCAATATGTAAGGTGAACTGTTATTCTCACAATTAATGTAGTCGGCTATCTAAATTCGAGTGTCTACTCCAAGGCGTAATTAAATTTAACGCAACTTTTTAGGAGTGAATTAGGGAGGCAAATTGAAAGGCATCTTTTGTAGGTGGGAGCATTGGGATATCAGATTCTTTCCAAACTAAAATCGATCTTTTTAATTACCACAAAGATGCATGGACTTAGTGACAAATCTCATGGCTTGTATTTTATTATTGGACAACCCTTGAAACAAGTGTCTTCAGCCTTGGTTCTGTAGGATAATCAATACATCGGAGGCCAAATCGCGCCTGATTCGTGATATACATGTACTGAAAGGCACACTGCACTTACTGGGGTCTGCAATAGAATGAAATGAGATAATATCTAGTCGTTTATAGTCCTTCTTGTGTAATTTTATGACTTAAGGTGTTAACGAGAGGAGCACGGTTCATCAATAGGATAATGTGTTTATTGGTGTTTTGCACGCTCTGATGTGACACGCATTAATTACAATGGGTATAACTAAATGGTAAAGGAAAAAGGAAGATAGTTTAATCCATATTAATTTTTGGCAAGTGGTTCACAAAACGACTTGGAGTTTAAGGGTTTTGCGATTTGGGATTAGGTTTTATAACAAATTGGTCCTCAATTAACGTAGGAGCATGGACTAATATCAAGGTAGAAGGTAATGAACGATGACCCGCCAGACATGATAATTCGATCTTTTATATAAACCCCTTCTATGAAAAATTGGTAATTTGGAAACTACAGGTAATTTCTAATTTTATGAATAATTTTAACGTTATTTTTAGCAACACAACATATCGAGCGAGGGTGCGCAGACGAAGATAGAGACCAATGCTTTTGGGACGAACCTAAGTCAGGTGAAAACCTCCACGTGTGTTATTGCACAACGACCCTGTGCAACACTGGAACGAGGCCAAGGTCAAGGTCGACATATAGCCTTGTTTGGACAGCAGCTTCTGTCTTGGTTGCAAGACTTTTTATATAAACATGAATAGCTAATATTACCCGAATATATTTTTCAAGAATATGCTTAAAAAATGTGAGCACATTGGATTTTTTTTAACTCTTTCGTCAATAATTTAAGTAAATGATGGCAATGACTGTTGTATTGTAATGACAAACACAGGTTCACGTATTTCAATACGATTTTTTCACAGGATTGCTTTGAAATAAATATCATTGGATTCCAAAGATAGATCATCGGTGTATCTAACTGTCAAAAAATGACTATTTAAGCCGTTCGAATGTGACTTCCATAGAAACTTTCAAAATAAAATATTAATCTTTAAATATGCATTTGCACACAAGTCATCGAAAAAGTAGAAACCTGAAAATGAATTATTATAATGCTATTTAGGTTCTTAACATTACAGTCTTTTTTTCACATCAAGGAAACTATTTTTATCATTGTACGTGTCCTTGATTTCGTTCCACAGAGTAAAAACGAGACGTTTCCTTTTTATCACCCTTTAAAAATGGACAATCTATCCGTTTGTAAGTAATGTAGGCTTACTTCCCATTTTCATCGTCATTAGTGAAATTCACCAGTTTCTATCTGCTTTACGAGACCCGATGAGTAGAACCTTGAAAAACAAGCATATGGATAGTAATTCTGTGAACGGTTTTTGATTATGATAAACTTTAGTGATTATTGAAATAGTGTTGTAATTTCCAAACAAAATGTTAAATGTTATTTTCTTTTTTCCAATATAAAGTTTTAACGCTCATTGTAGGCCTTTACATCTGTGACGTTCTGAGATTGGGGACGCTTTCTTCTAGCGTCATGATCAATGTTTGTTTTCCCAGGTGTTCGGGATTCGTCCCACTTCTAGCGTCATGATCAAAGTTTGTTCTCCCAGGTGGCCGGGATTTGTCCCACTCTCACGGATGATAAGTTATATCGGCTGCATTCTGATGTAACCTAAACTGAGTACCAGTACAGGGGCGTAACCAGACCTTTAAAAATTGTGCGCACAGATTTTTAAAATTCCCAGCACGTAAAGCAAAATGTAGACTAACGCAACAGATGAAGGACAGTGTAATCACGGCATATGTACCACACATCGCAGCTTAATTTCCATTAATAATAAAATTATCATTTAACTCAAAAATATTCTCGCGATTTAATGAAGTTTCAATGTTCTAATTCACCCAGAACGGTATATTTATTTAAAAGGAGGCTAACTGAAACATCAACTTTGGGCACTGAACGAACTGCAGGTTATGCTGCATTGTCTGCTTGTATCGAGCTGAATTCTGAATCATGTTGTGGCACTGTTGTTCGGAATGCCTAACTATCAAATTGGAAAAAAAGCAGTCTATTCAGAATTCAGCATCTCGTTCCCTTCGCAAATTCAAAAGTCCCACCATATCATGTGATTCCCAGGTTAGGTGTA